CATTAATGCCATCTGTGTTTTGTGATGATGAGCTTTTGAAACTCATAACTGCTTAAATAAAAGTTTTTCAATTGAAAGAACTGCTGCTCATTTGAGCACGTGTAGCTTGTTGTTCGTGAACAAATCGTGTTTAGTTTGTTATGTAGCTCGTGTTCAATTCGTTCGCAAGCAAACGAGTTGAACACAAACAATTCTTTTGCGCTCGATATATTAACGAGCCGAACACAAACAAAGTTTTATTCATTCATGTTTAGCTCAATTTGGCTCGAAAATGATTAAATCGTATAAATTGATGAGTATTATTTTTTAAATAATTTAATGGACTACAAGGCTACAAAGATTTATAATCAAATAAAATTATTTTTTCAAAATAGAATAAATATACATTAAATTCTATTTAAATGAATATTTTAATATAAATAATAATATTTAAATCTTGCCCCTGCTCATAATTGTGTATTTAGACAATCATTAATAGCTACGACGCCTGTGTGTGTGTTGTTTCTATATTTGTTTGTCCTCAAAACTTCTAGAATTCTTCGTAATATATGATATCTCGCAATTTCATGTTCAATATTATGATCTGATCTATTAATTTAAAATAATGTTTTCAATATATATTAGTTCATGCCCTCGTGAGTACTGCTATAAAACAAAAGATCATAATTCTAATATTTGATCCTATTCACTTCTTTTTATTTTAATTACTGTTGGGTTCTTTCCAAAGGTGATCTATTAAAAATATATTCTCCTATGAAATATACCTACAAAAATATACATGGATATGTTCATGGCATTTGAACTTCTACTTATTCGGGTGGCAACAAGATGTTCGTCACATACGGGCTTTCTCAAGTATTTTATTACTAAGTATTTCCGTCAGCATTACCATTATTGAGCTAAATGTACCCATATTTTGACAGACAGACTGCCAAATAGACGAATTGAACCTTCAATGAAAATCTAGCACTAAAATTAGTGAAAGAAGTAAATAAAAACACACATTGGTGGTTAAAGAAGACATTAAGCTACCAGAAGAGCATATCCCTGCATCTTAATCCGCATACAAGTTAAATTTGCATCGGAAGGGTACGAAATCTTACCGAACACCATGCTTCGAAGCGACCCGGCTCTTCGCATTGTCGGCGGCTAAAGAGAAAACTTGCAATGGGGAAACGAGGTTTTGCATAGCTTTTTCGCGTGATCTCCACGGGAATGTGGCCGTTCAGCCGTGATCGAAGTCGGGGCCTCTTATATTCCGGCCAATGCTAGAAGAATTTAGGAATGGGTAACGGTTTTGGGGTAGCCCAATTTCACTATTGCTTTTTAGGTGCCACTAAACTTAACGTGTTGCTCATGAATATCGTGCGAGAGCCCGGGTAAGCCCACAAAGTAAGGGAAAAAATTTGAGTATGTCAAGAGGTACGCATCTCTGCGTATATAATAGTGTACACGGGAGTTACATGGGAGTTACAAGTGTGTACACGAGAGTTACATAAGAGTTACAAGCATGTATAATTGTTACAGTGGGGTACACGGGATTTATACAGGAGGTTACACGGGAGTTACACGGGAGGTACAACAGGTTATAACCCCCTTGTAACTCTCATGTAACTCTCATGTAACTCTCATGTACACTATTATATACGCAGAGATGCGTACCCCTTGACGTACGCAAATTTTTTCCCAAAGTAAGATTCACCACCCAAATATTCGTCAAAGCATCGAAGTATCAAAGGAAACATGCCATAATAATAAACCTTGCTATACTTTTATAAATAATTGAATAGAAAATCCAACCAATTAATAGAAGCATATAAAAAATTAATCTGCAATCATTTTTAATACAAAAATAGGATGCAATGCTAGAGTATGGTTGTGACTCAAAGCAAAAGTCTAACTCAAGAGCACAAATCCACAGCCCAACTCAACTAAGCCAGAAAAAAGAAGTATTTGAATTGTCAGAAAATACAAAACCAACAGCAAGCGGTGTCAAAAATTGACCCGACAAGCTAACATGACTTGAACTCGACTCAAAAATCTTAGTTACGATTCACCCCAAATATTTCTTGAGTCTAGTCCAATTCAGAGAATTCAACCAGTTTATTATTCTGGTCGGGTTCGGGTTGAACCCGAACACCTAAATATGACCCGAATAAACAAAAAAATTTTGGTCGGTTCGTGTTAGCGGGTCAACCCTTGTTTCGGGTCTTAATTTTCGACCCGTTTACTATTCAGGTCGGGTTTAGGTTGATGTTAACTTCATTTTTGGTGAGATATTTCTTTACTCTTAATGTTTATAATTTAGTCATAGAACTTTCTCTTTGACTATCCTAAAATATTAGAGATGGAACTCACCAACATAGAAATTCAAATCACCTCCTAGTTCTTTTTAAAACCCTACGTGGATGATCATAAGCTTCCAGCACTTGGAAGGTTAAGACCAACATGTGGAGCCCCAAAGAGACTTCCCATAGAATTTAAAAGTCTCAGGAAAACACATTACGACTTTCACACATTCGCGCACAAATATCACGATTCGGCGAGTCGACGCACATAAATGTCAAAATTCACATCGCTCACACCTTTATTGGTTTCATAATTAATTGAAATGAAAATTAATTTTCAAAACGATCGATAACAAACCAAAACTTAGACGAAAATTAAATCTAACACATTATTTTTACCCCGATCGTTGACGAGGTTGTCCGAAAGACACCAGATGATGAAATAGACGACATCACACGCTTTCAGAACGTTGAAATTATCTAGAATGGACATCAATTTTGATATGATTTCGTGCAGAGTCTAATATTAAGTGAAATATTAAAAAGATGAATAAAATATTAAAATAAATTAAAAAAAGAAAATATTAAATCCCTAATCCCTTACAAAAAAATTTTCTGTGCAGACTCCTGACGTAGTTCTACGTCCGGACCAAGCTATTTTTAAGTTATTTTCAGGTTATTTCTGAACTATTTTTAATATTACTGAAATTACCAGAAATACCCTAAAAATAAAGATGACGAGTTATTTCTGAGTTATTTCGATATTATTGAAAATAACAAAAAAAAAGATAACTGAAAATAACTTAAAAATAACAGAAAAAGCGATCCTTACTCACGCACCCATCGCTGCCCCCTTCCCGATTCGCGAAACCCAGCCGAGCCTCCCTCCCTCCTCCTCGCCGAGCTCCTCTCCTCTCCTCGCGAAGGATCACTCCGAGCTCCCCTACCCCATGCTCTAGTAAAGTTATATAATTTTTTTTCGAGTCATTTCGAGTCATACACGAGCGAACAAATTGTTGTTCGTGTCAAACAAACTATTGTTCGTGTTCGGCTCGTTTACATTTCGAGCTTAAAAATTTGATCGTGTTCGGCGTAACGAGCCAAACACGAGCTGTTCACGAACAACGAGCCAAATTGGCAGCCCTAACGACATGTGACAAATTTTTAAGGTCCAATTGGAGCGGTTTTGATTTTCTGTAAAGGAGATTATCAAGTTATGTAAGGGAAAAAAACATTTTTAAAAATTTGTGTAGTAATTATAAGTATTTTAAAAAAATAGAAAAATAGTTTTTTTTTAATAATTACTATCTTTTAATATATCAAATTGTAAAAAATATCTCATCACAAAAAATTTTGAAAGCAATAAGAAAAAATAATCAAAAAGAGGTGTAACAACTATCTTAAGGCAAAATAAAGAAAAAGAAGCACCTAATTGACATCTTGAAATTCATCAACATATTTTATTTCCCCAACAAATTAACATGGATTATGATGAAACTTTGCAATTTGTAGAGAAAAACATGTATGCATATAGAGCTATTCAATGAGTTTGACCGGATGTCCTTGAAGATCATTTATACTATAATACAACACGAGTCTGAGGATGAAGAACATAAAAAAAAGGTGGAGGCTAAGAATACATTGGAGCATTAAACATGAGGAACACAATGAAGGATGAGAAGTTAGCCTCTGATGAGTTTGAGGATAAGATAAAGGAGCTTGAGGGAATCTGCAATCCTATCACTGCTACGATGTATCAGAGTGCTGGAGCTAATGTGCCCGGCGGTGGCGACATGGATGAGGATGCTCCCTAGGCAGGTGGGTAGGGGTGCTGGTCCGAAGATCGACTAAGAAGTATTTTAACGTTTGCCTTGTGTATATCTATCTAGCAGACTCGTTTTGATAATTTGTGTTTAGTTTTACATACTTCATTTTGAAAGCTTTTGCTGCTCGACTCGAATTTTATATTTTTGGGAAGTACCTTCGCTGAATTAAACTTTTTATTTAAATCCTCAATAAGGTGGGAGAAAGTCTTTTGTAGCATGAAATATTCCGAGGCAAAATATTTCATTCTTTTTCATGTAGTTAGATTATCAGTTGGACGACCTTAGATTCATGTTAGACATGTAGGATCCAGGTTCTCGTTTGTGGGAGCACAAAATTTCAATATAGGGAAGATGACATGTATATTTAGGTGAATTTTGTCTATTTGAGGACCTATTAACATACATACCCCCCAATTCTCATGTATTTATATATCTAACACCTAAATTTTAATTATTATATTTGTAGCACTCAAATATTTCATATCACATCAAAATCATCATTATTTAAACTTCTAATAGCGTATACACCTTTTTATGCACAGTGAAGATGACATGTATGTAAAAATTGTAATTTAGATGTTTGATATGTAAATACAAAAGAATAGAGTGGTGTTCATGCAAATTTTCCTATACTTTAATATGGTAGACTTGCATATTTGACGTTCGAGCTAATATAGTTTACAGTTCGAGTAAGAGTTGCTACTCTTTTTATTTTTTCGGCAGGGTATTTGCCCAAACCTGTTTTTTTCTTGAAATTTTTTGCTCTTTTTTCCAATGAATTTGTCATTATGCCCTCATTTGATGATTGAAAGTTTCTTGAAATTACTTTTAGTTTTATGTAGGCTAAACTTGAAGCTAGCAATAAAGCCTAAAATATTTACTCATATCATGCCATAACGGGCTTTGATTTATTTCAAAACACACATTTATATTTTTTTACACACACAGACATCATCACATACATATTTATGCATATACCCATACACATCATCATATTCTCTCCGTGGAGAGGAAAGAAAGATTATGCTTGCGCCCGGAGTCCGTACTTAAACTGAGTCTAGATAACAGACATGATACAGCGGAGTTGAAAGCTCCGCTCATTCCCTCTATACGTGTCGGGACTCCGAATGCAATATTTTTTCCTATCATCCACGCTATTTTTTAACGGCAGAGAGCTTTTATTTATTTGAATATATATTTATATATATAAGGGACGCACCCGCCTTATTTTATTTCATGGGCCCACGTCTGCGATGCTGCCTGGCAGGGATACCGGCAACCTTTTGTCATCGTAAGAAAGAAATGCGGCGCCATGGGCCGCCACCTCCTCAGGATCATCTATGCCTTCCCACTCCCCAGCGTGGGGAAAGCTCTTATTTGCCGCCTCTCTCAGTTTTTCCGACTTCGACGCTTTCCCGACGTACACCAACTTGTCCACCTTTGCCTCTCCGATGTGCAGAGAAATCAAAATATTCTCCAGAACTTGGAAAGCCTTCTCAAATGGTTCGAAAACAAGCGTCTTTACCACCGCTCCAACAAGCCCGCCGCGAGAACTTTCCTTCTTCTCATCGAAGTCGATCGGCTCACTGTGAAACTTGTGATCTCTGAGGATGAGGTGATAGTTCATACTTCGGGCATCATTGACCCTTATGTTGATGACGCTGACGTCGAGAAAGCCGCCGGTGGTTGAAATGATGGCGAGCGTCGTCTCCTTTTCCGGCCTCTCCTTCTCGATGTAGGCGGCCGTGACGGCGAAGCGCTTTCCCCCGTCAGATTTAGACCTGCACAAGAAAAGAAAAAATAGAAAAATATTTATATTTATAAATATTTGTATTCATCTGTATTTATTTTCAAGATTTTATATTATTATTATTAGTGTTATTAACCCTTTGTCCCTCCGACAACTATGTATTTGCCGAGGAGGAGCCCACCAACTCTGAGCGGCGACCCGCTGAAATCGATACCAATTCGAGTAGGTGACATTGCAACTAATTTCTAAATTCTTGGACAAAGGAGTAGAGTGTGGGCTGCTATATGCAAAATATGTTCTTGCATAATAGCTATTTATAGGCTTGCTTCTCAAATCTCAGCCGTTGATATAAAATTATTAACAAATAATAATTTCATAACATGACAAAGCAAGTTTATGATTTAATAATTTCAAATGTTTGGTTGCGTCGCGTCCACGCAGTAGCAAATTATTTCGGTTCACATATAAATGGTAAGCAACTATTGTTGATAAATCCCTGCCAACAACCACGAGAAATTATTGAATCTGGACTCCAATCGGGGTGCGTCACGTGTACAGACACACCCTTATTTAATATATGGGTGAGTCTGCTTGTACACGTGATAGACCCTGATCGGAGACACACACACACACGGATAAAAAATGCTATAATAATAATAACAATAATAATTAATAAATTCTTTTGGGCAATTAAAGACCATAAGATTCATTAGATGAGTTGGGTGAAAATGTGTAAACCTACTCGGTCTGGTAGATTGGACTTTAGAAGCATCATTGATTCTATGAAAATCAATTAAATGAAATTTTGGTTTCAATTCATAAATGACAATTCTCTTTGGTCTTTGTTGATCTGAAAAAAATAGTGGTAATTCTCATCTTTTATCTATTACTCCTAATTTTTCTGACTCTTTTGTTTCGAAAGAAATGCTTAAATTTGCCTGAATTATTGAGGATTTCTTCTGTTGGGATGTTGGTGTTGGGAGTTGTAGTTTCTAGTATGATAATTGGGTAGGAGATGCTCCTTTGGCTAATTCTTATTTAGGTTCTTTTGATGTGGAGTTTTCTGTTAAAGATTGTTGGAATAATGATACTTGGGAATTCCATAAACTGAGTTATCTAGTTAGCAAAGATCATGTTAATCTAATTGCTATGATTCCTCTTACTAATGATATTGATAAAATCAATATTAAGGGTCAAAGTTGCAATTTTATCCTTAAAATTTTTGCTCGGGCTTTGCAGATTTTTAATGGTATGAATTTATCTTGGGTTTGGAATTCTTTCGTTTAGCCAGCTCATTCTTTTTTATTCGGAGGCTCTTCCATAGAATCATCATTACTAACGACATTCTTAAGATGAAAAGTTTGAGAGATTCTTTTAGTTCTTGTCTTTGCAATAATTATGAGGATAATATGAAACATATTTTCATTAGTTGCTCGTTTCCTAAAGATATATGGTTTAAAGTTTTTATCCTTTATGATAAAAGAATGAATGATGTTACTAATAATTATATTGTTGGTTATTTTAGTAGTTGGAGATCTTATGGTGGAGGTTTGTTTTTGTTTTTTGTTTCTACGCCTATAGTAGTTTTTTGGTTCCTTTGGTTTGTCTGTAATGAGGGTAAACATATAGGTAATTTGATCTCTAAGCTCTCTTGTTTTGCTTATATTAGAAACTTTATTTTTAAAATGATTAAATGAGGCAAGGTCATGAAACCTGTTGGTTCAGATCTTCTGAAGTTGTTTAATAAGTTCAATATCTTGATTCCTATTTACCGCAAACCAATGACTAATCTGGTTATGTGGAATAAGCCTAAGAAGAGTGTTTTAAAGTTCAATACAGATGGAAGTTGGAACAATGCTCTTGTAGGAATTGGTGGTGTTTGTCGAAATTATATGGGTACTTATTGACTGTGGTTTACTGCTTCAGCTGTCGCTGTCTCTCCTCGTCGTGTGAAAGCGAATGCAATTCTTTTGGCTTTGTTATTGCCCGTTAAATGTGGTTGGAAGAATATTGAGATTCAGATGGACTCTTTGGAGTCGTGGAATTACAACATGAAGAAGAAGGATTATCCTTAACTTTTGATTATTCATATGAAATATTTTTTTGCATTACTCAATTATGTGTATGTGCAGTGACTGTTTATCCACCGTGAAGGTAATCAACATGCTAATTGGGTTGCTAAAAGAGATTTGAATTCTCACGAATTTAATTTCTCTATTTCGGTTCATTTGGAGCTTTCTCGTTTTATTAACGATGATTGTTTAAATATTCTGTATGTTCGTACTGATAATGTTTTCTAATGTTTATTTTTCTTGTGTGAGTTGTATTGTGGTCAAGGGTTCCTTAGGTTTTTTATTTTCTTTGTGTGAGTTATAGATGTGAAGTTTTTTTTTAGTAGAACTATTGACCACATCTAGGGCTGTCAAAACGGTTCGTTGTTCTCAAACAGCTCGTGATCGACTCGTTAAGAAGCTCGTGTTTGGCTCGTTAATTTCGTTCAATAAGTTAACGAGCCCAACACGAACTAAGATGTGTTCGTTCGTGTTCGGCTCGTTTTGGCTCAAAATACTACTCATCAAGTTTATATATATATATATATATATATATATA